AATTTCTTTAGAAAACAGTACTGGTACTTGCCTTTTCACACAGTTCTTGAGTTTTGTACCTCATATACAAACAACTGTTTAAAAATGGTCTCCTGATGCCTTCCTTCTGCCACTTCTGCAGCATTTTGGTCAGACAGGCAGTTTCTAAGAGTCCCACGTGGTGCAGCCTACGTTAGCTAGCTCACAGGGACTTTGACATCCAGATACTGCCTTCAATTCATATATGACAGTCACAGAACTCCCTTTTTCTCCGATAATTACTCAAATAAATTTTCACAGAGCCTGGTAACTTTCTCAAAGTATAGTGGGAGCTGCATTGTCTACTAAGGACAAGACTTTTCTACCTTAAATAAAGTCAAAGCATGGCCATTGTAATGAATGAACTACAACTTGATATTTTAACTCAATATTTCTGTCTGATCTCCTACCAATACCATACCTTCAGTTCCCAGGATCCATGTGTTCTTGAGCTACTGTTTCTAGAAAAGGAAATAATGCAATCCATTTATTAGAATTCATGTATTAAAATGGAACTTCTTGTCTAATAAGGATGACCATTTTTGTTTTCTCTTTACTGAAATCATATGTAAAAATAACTGCCCTGATTTTTAATAGCGCTTACCATCCACATATGGAACAAAGCCTGCATGTGGCTATACCTCTAGGTGAAAAGGCAATAGATTTCACTTGTTCTTGCCCTCACTGATTTTCAGCTTTAGTATTTATTAAAGCTATTGAAAGTTATAATGTACCTATAAATCAAAAGGTTTTTGGGTACATCAAAAAAGCATTCATTTTACAAGAAGATTCATCGTATGATTGTAAGAACACTCACATACATACAGAGGTATTTCTGTACCCTTTTGATTATTCTATTTCAGTTTTTTTGACAATGATAATTACATCTCCTTCATACTCCTTTGTCATTTAAAACACCTAACATGTACCTATGTACTTCTTCAGAATCGCAATCTTTGGTAATTTAGTCAGACAATTCACTTAAAAATAAATGTAAATAAAAATATTAGGTAAAAGATTTGAATGGCCTAAACAATTACTATCCTTTACAAACATCAAAAAATACTCACTAAGATAAAAAAGATGGCCTGTTATTTGTTATTTGTGCGACTGTGTTTTTCAATTTCTTTTTTTTTTTTTTTGAGACAGAGTTTCGCTCTTGTTGCCCAGACAGGAGTGCAATGGCGCGATCTCGGCTCACCGCAACCTCCGCCTCCCGGGTTCAAGCGATTCTCCTGCCTCAGCCTCCCGAGTAGCTGGGATTACAGGCATGTGCCACCACCCCGGCTAATTTTGTATTTTTAGTAGAGACGGGGTTTCTCCATGTTGGTCAGGCTGGTCTTGAACTCCCGACCTCAGGTGATCCACCTGCCTCGGCCTCCCAAAGTGCTGGGATTACAAGCGTGAGCCACCGCGCCCGGCCTGTTTTTCAATTTCTTAATGCAATTCATATTTACTGATATTAAACTGAGGAAAAACCGGATGCTTAATTCTAAAAAATGCCCAAGGTAAAAAGACTAGGAAACAACTTCTCCATGCCTTTCTATTACAACAGTCCAACCTAAGGTCCAACATAAGAAATCTCCTTGGGCCAGTATATTCCAAAGTTAACATCACTGACCACCCCATTATAACCACAGCTTGTTCAAAAACTCACCCCAAACCTGCAGAACCAGTATACCTACATTTTAAACAAACACTTATGGTAATTCTTGTGGACACCAAAGTTTAAGAACTACAGTTTTGGCTGGGTGCGGTGGCTCATGCCTGTAATCCCAGCACTTTGGGAGGCTGAGGCGGGCAGGTCACCTGAGGTCGGGAGTTTGAGACCAGCCTGACCGACATGGAGAAACACTGTCTCTACTAAAAATGCAAAATCAGCTGGGTGTGGTGGCACATGCCTGTAATCCCAGCTACTTGGGAGGCTGAGGCAACAGAATCGCTTGAACCCGGGAGGTGGAGGTTGCGGTGAGCTGAGATCGCAGCATTGTACTCCAACCTGGGCAACAAGGGTGAAACTCTGTCTCAAAAAAAAAAAAAAAGAGCCACAGTTTTAGGCATTTCAAACACCATCATTTCTGTCTCAGTGCCTTAAATTAACATTGGAATGCTGCAATTTATCACCAATGTTTATCACCACCTAGTGGTAAACTCCCTTATTTCTACTTTCCATGGGTTCATTCATACTGAATAGGATCCCAATTAAGAGAGAACAAAATTCAGAGAAAGCTAGAATTTTAGAGTAATAATTTCCTGGGTATTTTTCACTACCTTTTTATCTATGGTAGATTAAACCTGTGGAACTAAAAATACTGAACATTTTCTCAGTGTATTTAACCATGAAAAATTCTTTCTAGTATTTCAAGGAACATAGTTTGGAACATGTTGCTTTAGAAGCAGCAAATTTGACAGTTGCTTTCAGCAATTTACCATACAAGACCTCAGTTAATTAATTTACAAGAAGGCTTTAATCAGGCTTATTTTAAGTGTTATTTCTTATTTTAACTACATACTTGAGAGGTTTATTGAGATGTATTACTTATTATTTTAAAAAGTTTTAAAGAAATATATACTAATAAAACTTCACTGTGTTGGCAGTTTTAATAACTAACATTTGCTGGGCATCCATGTATTTATATATTATGTTCTCATACTCAAAGTGCATCTAAGAAGTAGACATTAAGGTGAAGACATAAACAACTAGATTACTAAATGCTATTTTTTAGGTTCTAGAATTTCCTCATTCTAAGAAAAATCTAAAATTCTGGCTTTTAAAATACAGTTTTAGGGATCAACTTCAAAAGATAGGAAGACAGGACCAAGGCTAAAAAACTGAGAGGATTAAGATGAAATGCACTCTGAAGCTGAAGTAAGCATTGTTTACTGAGACATGCAATTGGGAAGGAAAACAAAACAACAGGTTGCACTGAAAAAGCAAAGTGTTTTGTAGGTAGAGAGGTATCATACAATCTCTTTAAAATTTATACTATGATTCAAAGAAATACATCTAGAAAAGGCACCTTACTCTTAACCACAACTGTTTGCTGGGACTGGCTGCCTGACTGGTAGAAGGGAGAAACTGGGATCATTTAATTTGAATAGAGAATGTGGAGGGCTGGCCAGGTATATGACGGCTACCATATGACAGATTCAAGTTCTCCTAGAAAGCCCAGTGAAATACTTTAATATTTCCCCTACAGGGGAAAACTGTAGGAAATAGGATCTTATCTCAATTGTGAAGATTAACCAGAGATGCAATGGACTCAGGTAGGAGGTAGAGAGCTCCTTTCTGTAACTAAGTGTTACTTTTACACTGTTTAGATTAACCACCTGGAAGAAATATTTTTGAGGTAATTTGAGCATTACTTACATGGCAGAGCCAAATAACTTGTAAGGAACAATTTAATTCTAATCTGTGAAAACTGAACTATACGTACCGTAAATGAGTTTGGTATAACTACACCTATTTTTTGGTAATTAATCCACAGCTCCCCTCATTTAGGTTTTTCATTACTTTAAGAAAAAAATTAAAAACAAAGAAATGGAGGACAGTGGCTATTCACAGGTATAATAACAGCACTCTATAGCCTCGAACTCCTGGGCTCTGGCACTCCTATTGCCTCAGCCTCCTGAGTAGCGGGGACTACAGTCACGCGCCACTGCACCCAGTTTTGCTTTCTCTTTAAAATACATCCTCTGACTCACAGAAAGATACCTGGCCCAATTCTTATCAGCAGTTTTGCCTGTGATGATAAGACTAAATTTTCTTATCTAAATTTGCTAAAATCACTGACTTTTAAAAGAAAAGATTTTAGTTTTCCAGTGGAGATGTCCAAGTATAAGATACTCAATTATTAAGATTGCTGAATTTAATCTTTCATCATTAGTTTGAGTCAGAATGTGAGTATAATGAGGAGATAATTATGTTTTAACAAATGCATATTATTTATAATACCTTTTTATAAAAAGTGCCAAATGCTTGATTTAGATATACCTTTTTGATACATATCAATTCAACTCCAGAGCTAATAAAATTTTTTTGTTAAAGTTTTTAAAATACAAGCAGAATAGATCCCTAATTTTAAATCTTTATTTAGTTTTAGTTTTTATTTTTGAGACAGGGTCTCGCTCTGTCATCCAGGCTGGAGCAGTACTATTGTGGCTCACTGTAGCCTTGGTCTCCTAGGCTTAAGCAATCCTTCCACCTCAGCCTTCTGAGTAGCTGGGACTACAGGCACACACCACCACGCCTGGCTAATTTCGTAATTTTCTGTAGAGACCAGGTCCTCTATGTTGCCCACGCTGGTCTCCTCTTGAACTCTAGGGCTCAAGTGATCCTCCCACCTTGGCCTCCTAAAGTGCCAGGATTATAGGTGTGGTGAGCAAACCACCCCCAGCCCTAATTTTTAATCTTTAATTTCAAAATAACTATACCTCCTATTGTAGTCTGTTTTGAAAATTCCTTACATTTCATATTTTTGGAGTGGCTATTATTTCTATAAAGATAAAAATGTCCATCCCCCAAAGCCACTGACATTTATTTAAATTTATTATCAACAAGTTTTAATTTTTTTATCACTGTTCCCTTATAATCTTAAAAGAGCTTTACAAAACTACCAACACATTTTGATATAACTAAAAAAAATACTGTATAAAATATTTCCAATGATTTTGTCTTTTGTCCTTAGATTAAGTGTAAACAGTTAAGCTCCATGTATAGATTGAGTAGCAATTACCATATTTTATTGACTCTAAGATGCAATTGATGGAAAAAAAGCACCTTTTCATGTTTTATTAAGAAAGAAAATAAGGTTGTTAATTACATTATGCGATACAACTGACATCGAGATGCTTCTACTTTCAGGGGTGTTAAAATGAGAAAGATGTGCATCTCAAAATCAATGACATATGTCATTTAGTCAAATTCTAAAGACTGTCTATTGAATTTTTCCATTCTTGTCTTTCACATAAATAAGTCATGATTTAGTTAAGCAAAGAAAACTTTATTTCTGCTACACGTAACAACATATTGCTCTAAGGAACAACTACTATATTCGTTTTAGCATTAACGTATGGATTCAAAAATACATGTCAGCAATCCCTGCTTCCCAGACAAAACAATGCTGTACACAGACTATCAGGTATATGAAAAAAAAGCTGTCAACTGTCCACAGGGAATGCGTCCAGTCACATTTTCAGTCAGTCAGCTGAGGATTATGTCATTATTTAGTCTTTGTTCTGTAGAAAGAACACAACACAAGTATGAAAATCATCACCTGAAAGGAAAGGAAATAGCTGTTGTAGTATTCCTAAAATGTTAGGAATTGTTCCTTTATTTCAATATACCCAATGTTATCTGCTTAATCATAGCTGCCCCCAAACAAAACCAAACTTACTCAGAAGGGCGATGCAGGTGCTGAATTTCTAGAGGGAAAGTGTTGTGAATTAATAAAAAATCCGATTCTCTGAAATACTAAAATTTCTATTTTCCTCAAATAGAGAATTACATTGTGGTTATCAGACCCATCTCAAAATAGAACTCAACTACTTTCAACGTTATATCCTTGGATCAGCTGCTTCTATTTCCTGGGCATGACTCACTTAATCCCAGGCCCATACCTCAGAGATAAAATAAACCAGCCTTCATGAATTGTGTTTGCAGCCTCTTAAAAATTAAAGAAACAAACAAAAAAGTGCACCTACCCCCCAAAACTTGTCACAATCATATAAAATTTGGGAAAGTCTTCCACAGTATTTTATCGAACCTTAAAATAAGGTAATATATTTATTTAATATACCAACAAAGAAGAAGAGTCATAATGGAGTCCATTGTAAATAGAAGATCCGCAGCAAAAATAAAAAAGCCATGCTGCAATTAGAAGAAATTCAAAACCGTGTAGCTAATCGTATCCTATCCAAATAGCCATTTCAGCTAACCTGACCCCTATTTTATCTCTGCCCTGAATATGTGTAACAGTTCAAAAAAGGGAAAAATGAGAGATTAAAATTTTTGTGAACAGCCATGCCGAATATGCAATTCCTCTAATGTAGGAAATTGGATGAGTTTAAGGGAAAAATGTGGTATTATGAGGCTTAGTTCTCACAGTACCAACTGGCCATGAGGTAGTTTTATATCATTATAGTTTCTGATCATTTGGATGTCATTATTTTAGATAAGAGGACATCTCAAAGGTTTCACTGAAGCTACAAATGCAAGAGTTTTAGCTTAGACTGGCAAAGCCTTTCTTTCATTTTACAAGGAATTTTGTTGACTCATTGTCTCTCAAAAGCCCTATGAGAAAACTGGGGCTCAAAAAGGCAAAGAGGGTCAGGTGCAGTGGTTCATGCCTGTAATCCCAGCACTTCGGGAGGCCGAGGAAGGCAGATGACTTGAGCTTAGGAGTTCAAGGCCAGTCTGGGCAACATGGCAAAACCCTGTCTTACCAAAAAAAAATTACCCGGGCACGGTGGCACATGCCTGTAGTCCCAGCTACTTGGGAGACTGAGCTGCGAGGACTGCTTGAGCCCAGGAGGCAGAGGTTGTAGTAAGCCAAGATCAGGCCACTGCACTCCAGCCTGGGTGACAGAGTGAGATTCTGTGTTTAAAAAAAAAAAAAAAAAAAAGCGTAGAGACCAGCTCAGTCACAGTTAAATGGCTTTTTATTTTAAGCCCAATATTCTCTTTAACATGTAAATAATCATTAGAAAAGGTTCAACCATAAGAGTAATTTATATACTTTTCTATACTGAGAAGTCTAAAGTCTATATTATTGTCCTTTTTAAGGACAAAGATTTATTGAGTAAAAGCAAGAACTATTTCCTATTCTTGAAATATTCACAGACTAGAAAAAACACATTTTTTGCATGCTAGAGAATAGCTTGTCCAAACAGAATTCATTCTTAACATTTTATCCATAAACAGGAAAAAATGCTTGCTAATTCTTTCTCACTGCCAATTTAATATATCCAGGGTTAAATTGCTAACAATGTATGGTACAATGAGAGTGGTTTTGTCATTTAATAAAACATTTTAAAAGATTTAAAAATTAGAATTATTCATAACGGGCCCAATGGGCACTTTCTCTTGTCAAATGCCTTCTATGAAGGAGGAACTAATTATGTGATCTGTTCTAGGAGAGGAAGGGTCATCAGCAGTGATGCCTGGCAGGATTCATTCTCATATGTGCTAGCTCACACAATTGGTCAGAAAGAAAATCTTAAGTGAAAAAAATAAAGCTTTCAAGCCAGTAACTTCAAACTGAATTCAAAGTGCCTGCCATCTACTACATTTGACCTATAGTAGACTTGGAAAGTTGGTGTGTGTGAACAGGAAAACAGCTTCCCCTGAAATTCAGAATTATTTTACAGAATAAAAAAAGCCAAACTTTAGGCTGGGCACAGTGGCTCATGCCTGTAATCCCAGCACTTTGGGAGGCTGAGGCGGGCAAATCATGAGGTCAGGAGATCGAAACCCGGTGAAACCCCGTCTCTACTAAAAACATGAAAAATTAGCCGGGTGTGGTGGTACACGCCTGTAGTCCCAGCTACTGGGGAGGCTGAGGCAGGAGGATCGCTTGTATCCAGGAGGTGGAGGTTGCAGTGAGCTGAGATCTCACCACTGCACTCCAGTCTGGGTGACAGACCGAGACCTCTCAGAAAAAAAGATAAAAAAAAAGAAAGCCAAACTTTAAGGAATGTTTCCCCAAACCACACAGATATAAACTAACTGTCACAGTCAAAGAAATTGAGTTTGATTTTTGGAAACTAATAAATAAAATAGGAAATGGAATTCATATGGCTGTATATATCAAAATTTACAATAAAGAGTTTTTGGTAAATTGTTAGGTTTTCTTAAAAAATACATATATGCACACGAGAACATTTTCTGAAGGTACTGTTTTAATGCACAAACTCACAAATATAAGTCCAGAAAACACCTATATTTAGGTTCAAAAGGTCCAAAAATGATATATTATTTGATATTGCTTTTTAGGCATTTCATTAGAGAGAAGTCAAAACATTATCTTTCTAAACGACTGTTATAAATTACCTCAATTCATAACTCAAGACACCAATTCTTCAAGTTAAAAATCTTTAGAAGTATTTCAATTTTTTAAAAAGCGATGCTTATTCTAGCACTGGACAATTTTAAAGTTTATATAAGCACATAATAAAAAGTCAAATTCTTAAAATCTAAGATTTCACAAACAAAAAACAAAACTGAAATGTGATTTTATTTTATAGAAGGGCAAAAATATTCTTCAGTAAATGTCAACAATTTTTAAAGTTTAAATAGTTGCAAAGCTCTTTTAACTGACAACTTCTAAATCACTAAAAAGAAAAGTTCATAAAGTACTTACACATATTCCTCACATACTATTTACTCAATATGTTTTAAAATTCAGATTAAAAAGGGCTTACCTCAAGAATCAGTAAGTTCTTTGCCGTTTGTTAGACTCTTCTCTTGGCGAATCTGCCAGCATAACTTTCAGTCTCACCCCATTCAGAATCTTTCCATGTAGAGTGGCAATGGCATCATTAGCACTTATTCTATCGGCATACTTGGCATACCCCACATTTTTTCCTGATACAAGGTAAACTTCGATCAGGTTACCAAAACGACTGAAACAAAGTGAAAAAAATAATCAACCAAAATTGATAAATACAGCCTCTCAGGTCTAAAATTTGGAGTCCATTCTTGACTCCTTTTTCACCCTTCTCCCCACATCTGACATCCAACTCATGTCATCTTAAACATCTCAATCAGTCAATTCTATTCATTCTCATTCAGACCATCATCTTTTCCTTAATCTAATTCCTTTTTCACTAGTTTCCTTACCCCTGGGCTTGTCCCTCTTCAATCCATTTTCCACTCTGTCTTTTGAGTGATCTTTCTAAAACATAAATATGATCATTTACTCCCTAAAAGTCCCCTCAGCAGCTCCCCACTGCCTCCATGGTGACAACAAATCCCTTAAGATAGCTCAAGAGCCTTTCTGACATGGTCCTTGGACTCTTTAGTTTCATCTTCCCTAACAATCTCTCAAATTACCTATCTAATAGCCCTTCTTTTACATTCTCTATGGCAGAAATAACCATGCATACCCCCAGCTTTCACCTGTGGAGAAATTATTTTTATCCTTCAGGTCTCCACATACACCTGCCTTCTTTCAAGGCTTCTCAGAGTTTCTAAGGTAACTGCTCCTCCTATGTATCTTACACATTCCTTATCACAGCAACAATCACACCGGGTTGTAATTTTCTGTTTACCTGTCTGTTTCCTACATGAGATCAGCTCTAAGAGGACAAGAACTATAATGTCTTGTCCATTTAATACTTTGTTTACATAATGTCTCTTGTACTTAGCACAGTTCCTGCCTTGAACAAAGAAGAGGTTCAAGAAAAAAACTAAATATATCAGTTAAATAAAGGTCAAAATACTTGAACCATGTCCTGATTTTTTTTTCCTTTTGAGCCTCAATATACTATCACATTATGTCCCTGATATTTTGTGCAGTTCTTTAACAAGTTTCCTATCTATCTAATTCACTAACATTCTTGTAAGGCAAATGGGAAAAAGGCCTAAAAGAAAAACCAAAGAAAGGAGTTATGTTAAAAACACAAAAATAAATAAGAACCTTCAACAAAACAGAAGATGCTTAGTAAAAAAAACACAAAAAACAAAAAGGGTCTCACTCTGTCACCCAGGCTGGAGTACAGTAGCACAGTCTTGGTGCACTGCAACCTTGACCTCCTGGGCAAAAGCAATCCTGTCACCTTGGCCTCCCAAGTAGCTGGGACCACAGGTGTGTACCACCATGCCTGGCTAATTCTTGTCTTTTTTGTAGAGATGGGGTTTTGCCGTATTGCCCAGGCTGATCTTGAACTCCTGAGCTCAAGCGATCCTCCCACCTCAGCCTCCCAAAGTGTTGCGATTACAGGCATGAGCCACTGCACCAGGCCCATTTTACGTCTTCAAAAACAAAATAGCAGGAAATTCTGTATGGAGCCTTAGGATGTGTGACTGATAAACAAGAGAAGAAAATAATCAGAAATTGAAAAAGGTGATACAAATGAGGAGTTTTTAAAACCAGAGAACAAATCATCTCTACCTGATAGGTACTGGAGGAAGGAAGTGTCTAGATTATGAGAATAATTAAATTACTAGTGTAAATAAAATATAACAAAAAGTGTAACTTTCTTACCAGAATATATCTTCTAATACGTCTAAAGGTAAAGGATGAGGATTAAACACAATAAAAAGTCTTTCTTTCACAGGAGTTTCAGGAGGGGCTTTTTTTTTGCATGATGGAAGTACAACATCTGTCTGGATTTGAGGCAACTGTGATCCAGAGCTTCCTCCAAATTGCTGTTAACAGGTAGAAAACAAGAAAAAGAAAAAAATGCCCTTCAGGGATTTTTGGCCAAGAGCTAAAGACAGATATGTATCATGGCATCTATGTGGTTTTCCACTATAGCTCTGAAAATTTTCTTACATAGACAATCAACAAAGTATGATTTCTCTTCATATTTATTTTATATGCTATTGATATATTATAAAGGTTAAATTCTTACCTACTTACCATAAGTTGTTGCTGACTTGGGTTATTCCACACCATCGACGCAAGCTGTGCAGCTACCATCTGTGTTGCCATTTTTCTAAGGAGACTGGAGACAATAACTGATAATTTACAGAAAACTGAAAATATTCAGTCTTTTAACAGTAACTTGTTTTGTGTGACTTTCTCACCTGAGAGGTCAACTGTTTTCTATTTTTATTCTTCAAGTCCTATCAATCATGTACACTCAAAGCTCGGCTTTAGACACTCCTGGAATGGTACTTACTCTGTTGCATTACTTCCATCATCAATGAAGGAAACACCTATTCGATTCCCAGGAGGGTACTGAAATCCATGTAATTTGTATTTTGCATAAATAGCTGATGCTACATTAAAATACTGAACCACTCCATGACCTAAAATAGAGAATATACAGAAATGAAAAAAGAAAGCAGATTGAGTGCCTAAGGCCTATGTTACAATCTATCTCAAAAGTGAAACCATATAGAACTCTAATATCACATAACTAGTAAATACAGAGCCAAATGTATCAGAAAACACAGTTCTGTTATCATGTGTGCAACAAGTGTATTCCTACAAAAGGAAGAAATAATTTAGGGAAAAATATGAACATGATATTTTAAGGAAAATGGAATATTAACATACACCCTGTCTAATAAATTTAATTTTAGGATACTGGCTTTTCTTATATGACACCAATATACTTAAAAATCTAAATTTTTATTCTTTGAAATCTACTTTGAAATTTTAAGATTTTCCCAACCATACTGGGTAGGAAATGAAATGAGAAGTGATAGTTGAAAAGAATATATACTCATCCTGGCTATCTGCAGCAGTAGAGAGGAAAAGTGATTTGAATGAAAAACAAAAAGATAGGGAACAGAGGATCTCAGATCACAAGTGATATATTTTATATTCCTTTGGAGAGATTTCTGCCAAAGGGATGAATTTCAATTTAGGAGGGTGATGCTGAAGGCAGGGACAATGTTATAATGCATTCCTTAGAGAGCCCAGGAGCTTGTGACACAATCAAAAGGTTTTCATATTTATAATACAAACCACTGGGGAAACACTTATAAATTTATGTTCATCCGGAAACCCAAGCATCCAATATTTTAATGGAATTAAAATAAAATGCAGAAATCAAATGACCATATAAAGTTAATTCAAATGAGATTCGAACTATATGATGACACCTCTCTTAATAAAAAGATGTTCCAATGACACATATGTTTCAGACACATCCAACCAGAGAAACAAAACAGGAGGTACAGGAACAAATACATTTCAACATACCAGATACAAGGGAGGAAACAAAACAAAATAAATACAACTTCATATGCATATAACAAATGTGCCAGAGAACACAAAAATGTCTTAGAACGGAGAATGACAACATATGATCGGGTTAAGGTTGGGGATGGCTCAAAGACAGCTCTACAAAAAGACTAGTGCTGGGTCAGGTACTAGTGAGTATGTGGGGGTGTCTGTATGAAGGGTAGAGTTACCTTAGTCCTGTTAATCCACATGACCAAACTCACATCACTACTTCTATGTCAACAACCATGTCACTCTAAAAGGACTAAATCAGGTATCCTTACAAAACTGGAAGAAATGCCAACCAAGTATGATTTCTCTACCACCCCTCACTAACAAAGAAAAAAAAAAAACTCTTAGATTTACTGAGTGCCCTATTACACGCCAGAACTTGCATTAGGTTATTTTACATATATTATCTCTAATTCTTACCCAACCCTGGCAAAGAAGGTATCAATGATCCCATTTTACATATGAGGAAAGAGAGGCTCAGAGGGGATAAGCAAATTGCCAAGGTCTCAAAGCTACATGCCACTGCTGGGATTTGTACCTGATTCTGATGCAAAATGGAATGCCAAACTTGCCCATTATGCCACAATGCCTCTATTAACAAAGAGCCTTAATAAAATCAAAAGCTTAAAACACAAAGATGGGTTAGCTAATGCTAGATAATGGGTGTAATCAATTAACTAATTAATAAGTTCAAATGGCTGATATTGGAGTCTTGCTTCCACTGAGAATTGGAAGAAGCAGAGAGAGAAGTAGGGCATTTAGATACTTGGAATGAACGGAAGGAGGGATATAAATTTAAGAGAAAGAGATCTAGGGAGGAATGAGGAGGAAACTTTGTGAGTTTCATAACTTTGTCTAGCATTAACCAAAAGAGTACACAGAGACAGAGGCTCTATCCTGAGGTATTTTTTGTTGTGCAACTGGAATACAGAATGTTATATTTTGTGGGAGTTAAAATATATTTTACAGTGAACAATTTTGTAAAAAGAAGATATATTTCCAGGGCTTTGTTTATTAAGGTATCACCATATTTTGAAGTCTAAAGTAGAGAAAAAGGGAAGATAAAATTCCTCTCACATGAGCAGTATCTGACATAAAAGTGCCACTGGGAAAAGCCATTTTAACAAAACTCTGTGTGTGTGTGTGTATATATATCTCTCTCTCTATATATATATATTAATGTGAATATTATTTTACCATAATTTGAATAAGGATCTCGTTGAACTTCACAATATTCCAATCCTGGTACTATATCAAAAATGCTGAAAAGCTGTTCTTCAGTGAAAGGAACTCTTGATACAACTGACAAGCGTTTGGAGATTGCTTCCTGGCCTCGGCTGTCATTCTTGTCAAAACTTGAAAATTCAGATTGTTGTTCTCCAACAATATAAAAAAAAGGAAATCTTTAGATTTTTACACAGCCAACAATTCACTTAACATTTTAAATACTAGAATACAAAGAGTCCATTGTACTGAATAAAGGCACTGTATTTGGTAATAGGCTTCTGGTCATCAGAACTACTGATGAGACTAATGACAAGAAAACAGACAACTCTCCCCACTCCCCTACCTTTAATGCAGAAATATAAGAAGAAATGCATAGTCTAATTTCACAGAAATAAGTTTAGTATGCAAAACTAAAAATATGGCAAGTATTTTACCTGAAAGTTTATGTCAAATAACATTCACAGGCCTCACTTTCATTACCCATTTTCCCCTTTTTCTATTAGAACTTCTACTTTTATCATTCCTCTCTTTTCTGTAGCCCTAATTTTAAAGCAGCAGTAGTTCTGGGACAAAATTTTAGGACTCATACTGAGAGGATATCTACATATGTCTTTTTAAGTTTTTGGTCAGCTGTACAGCGGCAGAAGCTCACCCAAAAAAGTGGCAGTGATATGTGGCAGTGGCAATAGTTTCTAATATGAGGAATGCGTAATTAAACAGAGAAAACTATAATTAGAAATCAGTTAAACAAAATAAGTATTAAATATTAAGAACTTTAGGAGTCATAATCCACTTTTTAGGAATAAAAAAAAACTACATTTAAGATTTTTATTCACTAGGTGAAATTTATAGATGCCCGATAACAGAGTATTTTTTAAAACCCAAGTTAGATCGCATATACTACATTATACTATTAAAAGTAAAGGTCGCCTACTTACCAAATGGAAACATATTTACTCTAGGTTCATGTCCCAAAGCCTCTTGCCTCATATTACTATAATAATCTTGTTCAGAGGATTCAGATGCTTTATTTTTAGGTTCAGCCAAGATTGCTCTAAAACCTGAAAAGAAAACCCATGAATTTCAAGTTTCATAGCAAATTTAACATACCTGCAAATATACTTGATTGCTAGTGCCTGACTCAGCTTTATAAATATAATTGTACAAAGGAAAATCTATACAATGGCCATCTCCTCCAGACCTACTTCTTTGCTTTCTGGAAGATGGCAAAGAGTAAATGACAAACAGCAAGTATACCAAATTATGGGTCAATGTAGACATGAAAGATCAGCAATTCTATGCTATCCCTTCCCATCTTCTCCTGTTACAGATAATATCATCATTCATTCACTTAAGCTCCTCAACATCAAAATCCTGTAGGGCTTCTTCATATTTAACCTGTCACCAACGTTCTTCCTTTGAAATGCGCACAAATGGAATATGCTATCTTTTACCCTAACTTCCCTGCTTCTGTTTTTAATTTAGATTCTCTTCAATTAATTACAACAGCCCTTTAACTGGATTTTTTTTGCTTCTGGATCAAGGGTTCTTAACTAGGGGACCAAGGATGAGCTTCAAAAGGTGGGAAGACTCCATGAACCCTCTGAAACTTTAAATAAAATGCTTATTGTGCATTTATGTGCACATGGGCATATTTCAAGGGTTCAGTTTTCTTCACATTATTCAGTGGCTTAAAAAAGGATAAAACCAGCTCGTTTGAATTCTTCTCTGGAAATCTATCATTAATACTATGGGGTTAGATCAACTGTTCTTACTTTTGTCTTTCTAAATAATCTACAAAGGAATTCTAATGCGGACTAACCTTGAACTTTTCCTAACCTCCCATATATTGTTCCCATGTTCCAATGTACCTAGTTAACTGTGTCTCAGAATGTCTCAACAGAAATACTGTGCTTTACTCAGACAGCTGCCTTCACAACACTAAGCAAAAGACATGTTTATTCCTGGCATGGTGCCTCTGCTAGCACTGCTCTCACGTTCTGTCCTGCCTACTCCACACCAGACACAAGTCCTACCCCCTAGGCATGTGTTGCCACGCTCATCCAGCACACTTGTTTTTCACCATTGACAGACTCTACCATACACTTATGAACATTTTTTTTTCATTTGGCAAATTCTTACTGAGTCTACTATAAATGGCAGTTACTTTTATAGAGAGCTTAATAAATCTTTATTGAGGGCCTATTATTGTACTAGATACCTGGAGTGACAGACTAATAAGACATACTTCTTGCTTTCAAAGAGCCTTTTAAAAAAGTTCTTCCATTATTCTTTATTTTTTGCCTATTAGATCTTGGCTACCCAATACAGCTATAAATTCCTTAAATGTGAGGGCTGCCATATACTTCATCTGTATCTCTCTACTTAGCATATTGATCAGTATACTGCAGGTACTCAGTTAGTGCTGGCTAAATGAGAAATTCAGAAGGATCTAAGAGAAAATTTTCATATGTACCTTCGGGGTATCGAAGAATTCTACTGATTAACAGTAATTATTTCCAGTATGTGTAGATTTTTATAATGTCCTAAAATCCAGTAATTTAATCATTCTACGTATCAATATACCTAACTAGAAGTACACCAACAAAGAATATTCTCCTTGACATCTTTAAAATTCTTATTCTTTATATATACAGCAACATCAGAAGATCACATTCATGTCATTCTAGCTTGAAATTAACCCTATCAATTACCTATGTTAGCACATCTTATAAATCTTATCCTTAACCTATAGGTTTATTAATTATACTTTATACTCTTTGGGATGTAGATCAAATATAAACAAATATAAAGAATATTTTAAAAACCCTGAAAAGGTAAGTCAAGTTTTTAATACATAAAATTCTAAAATACACTTAAAAAACCCTAAAAACCTATACAAATAATACCCAAGGTATGCATTTCACTTACTAAGTTAATGTAGTTGTTCTTATTTCTTCAAGATAGTGCCTCAATGAATGTTTAATCATAGCCCCAAAATATTTTTCTTCCTTGGACTGTAAATATTTAGCCACTGCTAAAATTACATTAGCAGATACAGTTATTATCAAAAACCCATATTAAATTCAGTTATTTAGAATAATCAGAAATTTTTACAAAAGTTTTTAACAATGTTAAACAAACATATCCTTACTTCGATCACAGTTTTCTATTGCTTGGGCAGCTTGTGATGGTTTTAAGTATCGTACGTAGCCCAAACCTTTACTTTCTCCAGTGACTTTATTCTTAATAATGCTGCAATACTCGATATCTCCATACACCTAAAAGAGTTAAAAGACATGATTTCCGGGGACATAAAATTAATTGAACAGAGTATTTCAGAACCAAAATGTTGTTTATATGTTACCCTTGCATGCAAACAAAGAAATAAACAGTATAAACTATGCAGATATTGCAACATGCAAATATGCTTATTTCACAGACAAGGAAGCTAGGCTTTAGAGAAACCAAAGAGGGACAAAGTCACAGAAGAAGAGTAAGAATTTGTACATGGTCTGGATAGCTCCAAAGTCTTGCTCAACAGTGGTTAAGAGCCAGAGCTCTGGAATTAAACTTTCTAGATTGAAATCTTGAATCAGCCACTCATTAATCAGGCAGTTTACTTATTCTCTCTGTGCCTACCTCTTTATTAAATGGGCCTAACAGTAGTATCTACATCACAGGGTTGTTTAAGGGTTAATTGAAGTAAAACACGTAAAGTGCTTACATGGGGCTTGGAACACACTCAAAGAACATTAGCTATAATTACTTGTCTGTCTTCTAACAGGAACATAAATGATTGTGTATTCTTTTGAAGGAGTGCTTTTCAAAGAGTATCTCTAAAATATGCTGGTTCACTCAGAAAGTTACTATTCTGAGAAACATGCAGTAGTGCTTACTTTTAATGTTCAAAGAAATATGCAATATAATTGATATTATTTATTTTATAAATTCTTAAGTAATCAATTGTCAACTTAATTATCGTACACTAGATTAAAGTGTAATATTTGTTCATTCAGGAAAAGATAAAAATTTATAAATATTTAAGGTAAAAAACATTTTCCTTACCACTGGAGGAGGCATAAAATATATGTTTTTGGTATTTACTATTTTTGAAGTATTTTATTGAATTCTCAATTGGGGTAGGAGCGAAAGTTTGAAAATTACTTTTTACTGCTTGTTTTCTTTCTTGCTTGTTGCCACCCAAATCATGGTAGGATTAGTAGAAAAAAGATAAAGAACTACAACTCAAAACAATTTAAAAATTGCTTTTTAATAATCTGTGTGAAAGCTTATCACTGCATAAGTTAATGGCTAAAAAGACTTAAAATTATCCTCAAATTTCATTTATATAGGTCAGAGGTATACTTATGTTTTCTTCTTTAAATATAACTCCTTCAAAGGCCCAATTTTAGGACAAAAACTCTTCAAAGAATAAGCCTTTCTGTGAATGAGTACCATGTCAACATACCATAGGCCTTTTCTAAATACTAGATAATACAGTTCACACACTCAGGTCTGCCTGATTCGCCTTTACATGCCAGGCAACAGAGGGGAGTGAAAAGAGCATGCTTTGAAATTTTAAAGACCAAGAGCAGGCTCCAGACTCCGATAGCCTGGGTTTAAATCATAGCTCTACGACCTACTAACTGTGTGACTTTACTTAAAAGTTTCTGAGTTTTATACTTCATTTCTGTGAATCTCTACTTTCACAATAAAGTAGGGGGAGACTACCATTAATATTTTCCAGTTTTTATATATTCTTTAATTTTGAAAACTAATTTATGCTAGGTTTAATATTTAAAAAGTAGATTGAAATTGATGAAAACAGTTATATAATTCCCCACGACTACTCTATTGACCTTATTCCAACGACACTTCAGATTTAGTACCCATACAACCTGTATAGGACTATGAGTTATCACATATGCTAGCTGATTAGAATAAGTACCTTAAATTTTTCCCGCAGATCTTCCTCTGTGTAGGACTTCGGTATCATAACAAAGATTCTTGTAAGTTCTTCATCTTCAACATCTCGGTGACTTCCAGATGATCGGGACTGTGCAATGAAAACCTAAGAAACAAACAAAACTCCCAAAATAAAATAATGTCAACTATTTTCCCATTTCTTAAATTTTTTTCAAAAGCAATTATTCTTGCAATGACTTTTTATTTATTTATTTTTTTTGAGATGGGGTCTCGCTGTGTCACCCAAGCTAGAGTGTAGTGGTGTGATCATGGCTCACTGCAGTTTCAACATTCTAGGCTCAAGTGATCCTCCCACCTCAGCCTCCCAAGTAGCTGGGATCACAGACACATACCACAACACCCAGCTAATTTTTTAACATTTATAGAGACAAGGTCTTGCTATGTTGCCCAAGATGGTCACGAATTCCTGGGCTCAAGTGATCCTCCCACTTTGACCTTCCAAAATGCTAGGATTACAGGTGTGAGCCACCGTGCTGGGCCTGCAATGACTTTTTTTTATGAGCTAATACCAATCTCTGCATTGTTTTTTTCCCAAATGTATTTCTACTTTTGCATTTGTTTTTAGCCAGAGCAATTTGAATAAATGTAATATAATAAATTAAAACACCATAAACAAGGGTCCTTGCATTGTTTGTTTCTCTTTCCTTTAAAGGGGTCTCTATATCTTGGTCTCTAATCCACTGCTGGTAAAGGGGGCTCTATATCATCAAAGCATGAGAAAACTGGAACTTACGAAATTCCAGAGTAGGAAGCAGCAACTAAGAAAACCACAGTATTAGAGACATATCCCTTTATAGTCTACTTCTAGTTATTCCTACAGTAAATCTATGCTATATGTCAAGCACTATATGAGTACAACTATTGAGTAACACAGAAATGGCCCACTAGAGTTTTGTGGCTGATATCAGTAATAAATGGTAAATAGGGAAATACAAATAGGGAAGCTTTAAGTATATGCCAAGACATTAGAGAAAAAAAAAAAAGACTCTCAGGTAAGATGAAATTGGAAGTGCCATCAGAACACAGATTTCTACATTTTAGAGGACTGAGGTGTTTCAAATCTCTGCAAAGGAGACAGTCTATGTAGAATGTATGTAAAATAATTAACCTCCTCATGGTAGATTTCGCCCATAAATTTTCACCTTCAAAGACTATGAGCGTTCATAGGCTCTAGATAAGAAGCATTCTTGCAAAACTAAAGCCAAGATTTTTTTCTTCTGTTTTCTAGGTTTCCCCCTTTCCGCCAGATAACATAGTTGGTCACAGAATAACTTTTACTTGGACAATCTTTTCTGGCTGAGGCCTGGTATGATAATATTCTTGTGTTACAGATCCTCTGAAACTTTGCAAAAGCAAAGTACAATAGAAATACTGAAGCTGAATTAATTTAACTGGAAATGCTGAAAACAATACAAGAGTGTTCCAGCCGAAGATGGCTCGAGTTGCAGCTGCTGAATGAAACTAGGCTGTTAGGGTGTGGTGGCTCACAACTGTAATGGGAGGTTGAAATGGGAGGATCGCTTGAGCCCAGGAGTTTGAGACCTGCCTAGGCAACATAGTGAGACCCTGTCTCTATGAAAAATAAAAAAATTAGCTGGGCATGGTGGTGCACATCTGTAGTCCCAGCTACTTGAGAGGGAGGATGAGGCAAGAGGATTGCTTGAGTCTGGGAGGTAGAGGCTACAGTGAGCTGTGATCAAGAAGCCACTGCACTCTAGCCTGGGTGACACAGCGAGATTCTGTCTCAAAAAAAAAAAAAAAAAAAAGAAAAGAAATGAAACTAGACTGTCTAGCTAGGTACTACAGTGAAACAACCTTCTGGCTAAAACTGAATAGTCAAAAATGTGACAAAGAAAATAGTAGTTTATTTCTTTTTGGGAACAAGATCTTTAATTTCTCTGCAGCTAAAAGAGAGGGTACATTTCAGTGCTGGGCCTTTAATTTCTCCTGTAGAAATTTATCAGGGGAAGGTGGTCCACCAATTTCAAATATGGCACATTTTTTTGGGTTGTCCACATGGGCTCTGTGGCCATGTTACACTCAAAATATAAAAACCCTCTCCACTAAGGTCATAATTGGACAGTGATGAAACACATCAGTCTGCTACAGAGGTCAGCAAACTACAGCTCCATTTTTGGAATAGCCCATGATGTAAGAACTGTTTTTACAGTTTTTAAGGACTGTAAAAACTGTCCTTAAAAACTGTAAAAACAGACAAGGATTTGTGACAGAGACTGTATGTGGCCCACAAAGCCTAAAATATTTACTAGCCAGCCCTTTACAGAAAAAGTTTGTCAACTCCTGATCCTGTATGCTGTGACCCTAAATTAATTTTGTTGCTCTCCTATTCTGACACACTTCAGAGGGTTGGAGAGGTGGGAGGAAGGGACTGTTTACCGTGTTGCTGGTATATTCCCAGGCTCCTTCTCTTTTGTGCATGGAGCAAGACTTCCAGAGACTGAAATATCTCTGAGTCCTTTATTTACATAAGTCCATAATAATACCATTCTCAATTTGGAAAACAATTTTTTTAAAAATTGAGAAAATATTTTTGTGCAAAGTACCAACAGAATAACATACATAGCAACTATTTACATGGGGCAGACGAAGGGTACAATTTAAGCAATTGCCAGATTCTCAGGACTGAGTCCTGATTTGAGATCACAGGGAGTAAGCAGTGACATCTTGGCTATTACCGATCAACAACAAGGACATATTGAGGGCTTACCCTGTGCGAGGCACTGTGCTGAAAGCACAGATTATGTCAAATAACCCTCAAAATGATCCTTCCTGACATGTGTCATTATCACAATGATTTGGCTCTTCTTAAGGCAGTTTACTTTGGTCTGCTTTCAAAGAAAATTTGCAGTAACAGAAAGGGTCAAGAACCAAATGTATGCTATTAACACTTTCAGAAACAGAGCTCGTTCAAAATAATTTTCCAAAACAACAAAATGTGATGAATATGTAACAGTGATCGTTTTAAACACCTGCACTTAGTATTATATACATGTATTCTTTTGTCTGGTACTGGGAAAACGTCCAACACCAGAGGTCCCCAGTTTAAAGTACTTTTGTCAAGTTGTTAACATCTCATCTCTACCTGAGGAAAAGTAGAGTTTTTCCGTTTGTTATAATGGAAATTCTGGGCATCTGGGAGAAGGTCAGAAAAGTACTCGAAGTAGGCTAGGACGAGTTTGGCAGTGAACTCAAGAGCTGGTGGATTAGTGAGGGCGAGGGAGAGGGGAGGCCCAGCCACTGCTGTTCTGTCACCCGGTGGCCGCGGTTGCCTGGTCCGCTCTCGGGGGGCAAACATTCCGCTTCCCGTCCCCTTCCCTGCAACCCAGCGCAGCTTCGTGGGAGGGGAGCCTCTCCTCAAAGCAGCCCCTGTCCCTACGCCAGGTGCTGTCTGGTCAGCTGCCGGGAACGGATGTTCCACTCCTCCCTCACCCCGGCAGAGCGGCAGGTGAAGGGAGGTCCGAAAGGCCCACTCCTTCCCCCGAGGGCACCCCGACCCGGGCACCCGCACCTTGATGGGCTTGGTGTCGTTGGGGCCGAGGCACTGGCCATGCATCTCCTCCATGGCCCTGCAGGCCTGTGAGCTGCGGGCGAACTTGACGAAAGCAATGCCCTTGGATTCCTTAGTGTGCTTGTCCCGCACCACCCAGATGTCCTGGATGTCGCCAAAAGGCGAGAAGCGCTCCCTCAGCACCGACTCAGGCGTGTACTTGCTGATCACAAGGAAGATGCGGCTGTTGGGCGGTTCGTCCAGGCTGTCCACGCCCGGGCGGAAGCCCCCGCCGCTCGCAGAGCTGCCAGCTTCGTCCATGGTACTCCACCTGAATGCAAGAGCCTCAGTGCTATTTGCTTCTGCGGCGTCTGCCACCGCTGCTGTCTCACACCCAGGCTTTGCGGGCTCGGTGCTCCGCTTCCGGGAGAGAGAGGAGTCCTGCGCCAGGCGCTGTCCAGCCGCGCAGGATGCGGCCTTCCGGGGAGCGGCCTGCAGCGCCCCCTGGCGACGCGGGGGACCCTGTCGCAGTCTAAGTCTCCAATCCAGCTGCGCTTCGGCCCAAGTATCAGTTGTGTAATCCTTGTTCCCTGCAGGCAGAAAAGCGCTGCCTACTGCACAGGCTTTCCCAACGCTGGTTTTACCCCACCCCTAAGGCCAAAGATTCTTTCCAGTGTTAAAGAAAAAATTATTCATGACACTCATTAGAGATGGTACAGGAAGGCCAACTTTGACAAAAGGATGACATGGTGATAGGTCCAGGGACAGCTGCAATGGGGTCTTGCAGTGGGAGAGAGAGATTGGACTGAATTTTGACTCTAATAAGGACACATTTCTAACCAAGAAGCTGGGTGGGAGGTCAGTGGATGGAAAATTACTACGAGGGTACATCAGGGTTAAGGAGGATTCTGGCTAAACCAACTTGACAGGATACTTGCTGAAGGCAGGCCAGGGTGATTGATATCCATGGTGGTCAGATACTGGATTTTCACTACACTGATTCACTACACTGAATCTTGTTCAAATTGGATTCTACAAGGACAGACAGCCCAAGATCAAGCCTAGTCAAGCAGAGGACTCAGAGGAGCCTAAGTTTTGGTCAAAGAGGAGAGTCCTTTGTCATCATCTTGATCATAAGCTCAATAGACGATCAATATAGGACAGAGTTCAAACTACACAGCATTAGAGTGGAAAGGAACATTTGAGATCATTCCATTTCAACCTCATTTGTTAGAGATGAGGAAACTGAGGCCTATAGCATAGCCAAAGTAATAGAGATAAAAGTACAGCTAAAACCGGAACTAACTTGGCCGGGAGTGGTGGCTCACGCCTGTGATTCCAGCACTTTGGGAGGCCGAGGCGGGTGGATCACGAGGTCAGGAAACCAAGACCATCCTGGCTAACACGGTGAAACTCCCTCTCTACTAAAAAAATACAAAAGAATTAGCCAGGCGTGGTGGCGGGTGCCTGTAGTCCCAGCTACTCAGGAGGCTGAGGCAAGAGAATGGCGTGAACTCAGGAGGCAGAGATCGCGGCACTGCCCTCCAGCCTGGGTGATAGAGTGAGACTCTGTCTCAAACATCAACAACAAAAAACCCAGAACTAACTCCATCTGTTGATTTACTCAACTTCTACAAACAACCCTGGGGTTGGAGGGCAGTGAGGGTGGACTGCTCAGCTGTGGAACTAAGAGAAATCATAGAGTGCAAGCAAAGTGGGAAACGCCTTCTTGTTAACAGGCCTTAGAGGAGAGGTCAGAAATCCAGTAGAAATCCAGAAACAAGGTCTCGATTTAGCAGTGGCATTGAAATGAAGTGAAAGGAATAAACCCCTACGTAGACCGAGGGCAGAGTTCTTCAAATGAACAAGTTCTGGATGCTAAGACCTAGGTTGCTATGAAGTCAACCAGATAAATATTTACTGTGCTCCAACTATGTGCCAGGCTCCATGCCAGGAGCTAGATATATAATGAGGAAAAGGAAAGACATGTCCTGAGGGCTTCTTTTCCCCCACTGTGGAAATCTGACATGTAAATATATAATGCAAAGTAATGTCAGATCATGTTACATGGTTTTGTACTGAATTGTGGGAGCTTGGACAAGTTAATACTTGCAGCTTCAGTTTCCTTAACTGTAAAGTAGGAATAATATTACCTACTAAATAGGTAATACATATTATTTTATAGTTGGATTAGTTAAGCTTGATAGCCACCTAATATATGCAGGAGCATGACTATCAAGTTTAATTAATTCACCCATTCACTTAATAAGTATTTTTGACTATCTTATATGTGTTAGGCACTGTGTTATACTGAAGGGATGTAGTATTGAGCAAAATAATTACTCTTCTCCCCCACAGAGTTAATCATTTAGCCTTGTATAGTTATGCTCATATGAGATAATATATATAGAGTTCATAGTTTAGAGATCAAATGAGATAATATTTGTATAATGGCGCAATCGAGATTAATTTTCTTGTTTCCTTTGACTATGGTATCCACTTCCCCACCCCTGATATTGTACAGTTGTGTGATGACTACTGAGAGTCAGGGATTGTGGGTTGTTACCCTGGATTTAGCACTAACAAGATTTTTATAATTTCTCCTTGTATTACATTCCATATCTGTAATGAGGGCTCTGTTTACCCTGAGGCTGAGCAACTCTAGGAAGTATCTTTTCTTAACTTTCCATTTCTCTTTATCCTATCCACAACAATCAAGGTAAATGAAAATAATTTGATAGTGTAATAATTTTGTTGATGAGAGGAAGTGCAAAGCAATATTATTTGCAAACCATGCCATCTAGTGGAAAATGTGTAATTTTCTTAAATTGTTCTGACTGGGCAATCTCTATTCTTTGTGAAATAAGACTACTGATTGGTGTCCTGAAAATTTTAGGCTGTTATTGAGAACAGTTAATTTTTTTCTCAAAAAAAGATAAAAGATTCCATAAAACAAAACCAGGAACAGAAATATTGTAAAATGCCAGGAAAGCAAAATTTCTTTACTATTCAATTATGTGAAATATGACATATTCAAGGAAAATTAGAAATTTACTTATAAATTAAAAAATATAGTAAGTACATTTTCTTCATGACTTATGTATTTATTTTAAACAAATTTATTGAGAGATAATTCTTCTTCTCATTTTTTCTTTCTTTCTTTCTTTCTTTCTTTTTTTTTTTTTTTTAAGGGATGGTGTCTCACTATGTTGCCTGGGGCAATCTTGAACTGGCCTTAAGTGATTCTCTTGCCTATGCCTCCCAAGTAGCTGGGATTACAGGAGAGACCCACTACACCCAGTGAGATCTAATTCTTACATCATACAATTCACTCATTTGATGTATTCAATTAAATCGTTTTTAGTACCTTCACAGCATTGTGCAAGCATCATCACAATCAATTTTAGAACGTTTCATCACTCAATGACCAAATTGTTACACTTCAAATCATAAAACCTTTGAACACGAATTACATGTAACTAAAACACCTAAAAATGTCTGAGGTTTAAAAGAATGATTTTTAGTTAGTCTGCTTAATAGAAGAAACCAGATGCTGGGCATTTGCAGATTAAATTTTTTTCAAGGCTTTAGAACACGTAGTCTATAAGGCACTGTTATTGGAATGTGCATACATGTTTGTTTCGCATGAAATTCAGATTTTTTTGAAAACTTTCTCCCTCAAATTTTTTCTTTTTAAAATGAGAGGTGATATTGTGACTAATTTTTGAGTTGCCAGGAGCAAATAGTAAATTTTTGTCATTATTTTCCAAACTCGAGTACAATGAGACTTGCTTAGTTGGTGATATTAGTCTTCATATGTTACATTTAATTAACTAAAAGTGTTTTGCCCTATTTGCAAATTTTTTATAGGTTTTAAAACTAAGACTTATTGGTGATCAATTAGTAGCTTTCAGATTGTTATATATGAATATGGTCCAGAGTTTCCATTTGACCTATCTGTAAGGCTTAGCCTGACCTGTGGCAGGCACTCAAGAAATGGTAGTCTCCTTCTTGAGTTTGCATGCCTTTGTTTGAGTTTGAGAATAAAATCTAACACCTGATTTTTTTTTTCACCATATACTTGCTCCTTTTGATTCAACTTGATGACATACATCTTTTAAAAGTGTAGATCACAGAACAAAACTCATAGATTCCACTTAGAACAGTTTCATTCGAGCGTCTGGTGACTGTGGCTATTTAAATTAAAATTACTTAAAATTACCTAAAATTAAAATGAATGATAATGAAAATAATTAAAAATTCATTTCCTCAGTTGAATTAGCCAGTTTTCGACAGCGCAAGAGCTATCCACAGCCACAGCTACCGGACAGCAGGCACGCACAGCCAGAGACTGCACAGCAGGTACAAGGCTTTAAGCCTCTGCGAGAGGTGGGATCCCACGGGATCTGGGGGCCAATCAGCAGTGCGACCGGGGCCTGGCTTGCCATTGGCTGGCGACCACTGGAAGCACGCGTCCAGCTGCGCCTGCAGCCAGGGCATGAGGTTCTCTTTCTGGATCACGAGCCTCGTAGTTGAGGCGTGGACTCTGGCCGGGTGGCTGTCACAGGTGACTGCTGGGAGCGGGGGCGAAGGGCGGAACCGCTGGCCGTTTTTAATGCCAATATTAAAAAGTATTTCATTAGCATTTCTCTTTTTATGAAAAGTAAGACATAACAATGGTATGTACCCTCCTAGTCCTCTTTAAGCACTTTCAGTTGGGTAAAAAAAAGTTGTAAGCTTCCACAGTGTTTCAGATACTGTGTTCAACACAGGGTTGCCAAGTCACCCTTAAAAAGGAATTGTTGGCTGGTCATGGTGGCTCACACCTGCAATCCCAGCATTTTGGGAAGCCATGACAGGCGGATCACGAGGTCAGGAGTTCGAGACCAGCCTGACCAACATGGTGAAACCTCGTCTCTACTAAAAATAAAAAAATTATCCAGGCGTGGTGGCACACGCCTGTAATCCCGGCTACTCAGGAGGTTGAGGCAGGAGAATCGCTTGAACCCGGGAGGCGGAGGTTGCAGGGAGCCGAGATCACACCACAGCACTCCAGCCTAGGCGACAGAGTGAGACTACATCTCAAAAAAAAAAAAAAGGGAATTGTTAAACCTGTAAAATTATAGATTTAATATTAATTCTTCTACACTGATTACCAACCTGTGATGGTAAACAAGTCACTTAATCTCTGTTTGCCTCATTTTTTACATCTATAAAAATAGAGATGTTAATGGTATCCATCTTACAGGGCTGTTGTGAGGACTAAATGAGTTAATAATATTTAAAGTGCTTAGAATATGCCTGTCACATACTAAGCACATACAGATGTTTGCTCTATTTAATGTTGAAATTACTTCATTCTTGGAAGAATGACCATTTTCATACTAGATGCCACATCTTTGCCTATTTCAGTGAGAGATTTCTTTTGAAATATGA